TTAATGTTTAAAATAAGATAAAAATAAATAAAATAAAAAATAACAACCACACACATGTCCATCACACACAAGATTTTTCCCAAAATTGATTTGACATTAATTTATATTGCAAGATCCAGGGAGGGGATCACAGTAATTTAAATTGGAGGAGGGGATTACAGTAATTTAAATTGGAATCAAGAATTCTCGGGTTCGGGTAGGAACCGAGTTTAAATTGTATTTTTTTGTAAACTGGTGAGGGTGTATTTGTCATTTTATTAGAAAATAAGGAGATAATTGAAATTAATCTAGGTACTCGGAATCAAAACCGAAAAACTATGTTTCAGGTTCCGGTTCTAAATCTTAGGAACCGATCAGTTCTAATCTAATTGCTCACTTTCTACCATGTTATGATCTTGAATATTCAAAGAAAGTCAACAACTAACCATTGCTTTCTAAATAGCTAAATTGAAGCACCACTTAAATAGCTGGGATTTTAATTTGGACGGAAATATTTTAGACATGATCGTTTATGGAGACTTTCACCTGTAATGCTACCAAAATAATTGCCTTAAACATCTAAAGATCAATTTTTCTCTTACTTCCATAAAAATGAATACCTAAAAGACTAACTTTAAGTAAAAAATTCAAGATTTATTTATCATGACACAAACATGAATCTCAATCGATCAACAGAAAGGGAAATTCCTAAACATAAACCCCACGAACATATAATTAAAAATTATATTTAAATATTTACTAAAAACTAAATTCAAATTAAAATCAAAATGCTTTTTCTTTTTCTTTTATATTTCCATAAAAATCAATTAGATTTTATTAACCTTATTGTGGAGGAACTCATGAGTTGGGCTAAGCTGGCCCAATCCTAAATCTTGGGGCAATTTATTTTTGCCTCTAAGCTCTCATAACAAAAATGGCTTTAATATTAAGAAACAACTTATATGGGCTTAAAGTTGGGCTTCAAAATTAGGCTCTTATTTTAATTTCCTTATTTAAGAATACCAAAAAAAAAAAAAAAAAAAAAACAAAAAAAAAAAAAAAAAAAAAAAAAAGGAAAAATGGAAATGGAAAAACTATTTCAGAGAAAGAAATCTTCTCCATAAAGGATAAAATCTTCTTTTGAGCCTTAACTATAAATTTAAGACTTTTAGTATGAATATATCTCTATTTGTGTTTGGTGGTATGTTCTTAGGGTTCATTGTGTTCTACTACAAATAAGCACCAAAACTCATACAAATTCTTTTCTTTTGGTTTAGTTCTTGTTTATATCTAAGTTTTCAAATATAATAATTAATTTTCTGCTTAATGTTTATGTTGTTTATTTATCTAATTACTATATGAACTTCACTGTTACTTTAGGGACGCTAGGCATTGTCGATTAAGACTTGAGTTTTCTTAGTTGATCGGTTAGTTTTTCACTTAATGTGTTAATCCTATACAATTGTCTTTTAGTCCCTCATGACTTTATTATATATTTTGGTCAAGTGAATTTAAAAGTTAGTCTTGTTTATAGTTAGATGCTCACCATATAATTCATGGACATTTTCAGATTTAGTTTATGGAAATCATAAACTGCATAAGTAATTCCAGAAAGAATATTCCTATTGATATCATCCACGATATCCTTCTGAGATTGCCCGTAAAATCACTTTTACATTTTCGATGTGTTGCAAAACTATTGACAATGTTTCTTTTATTATCATGCACGAATAGGCATATGTTGAAGAATCTGAAATTTTGTATATTCCTTTCGATTTGATGTCAATGAAAAAATTGCATTCCCATGAATATGACGAAGCTAATAATGTAATAAAGATAAGTGAAATTCCTATCCTAGAATTTTCCGGGGAGAATATGTATTTACTTTGCTTTGTTGCATATGGTTTATTATGCATTTGAGATGTACAAGTTCATTGACAACATGAAGTAGTCTATTTATAGAATCCTCTTAGGGGCGAAGTTTTGGAGCTACCTAGGCCAACTTTAGAATTATGGAAGATTACTCCAGAGAAGATGTTATGGTATGGAATGGGATTTGATTGTACAACTAACACATGCAAGATTGTTCGGGTGATTAAAACATCTCATGCAGAATTTGAGACTGAAATTCACACTTTGGGCATAGATTCATTGCGATGAATAGACACAAACCCTTCTTTTATGTTAAGTAATTGAGGGGTGAATGCATATGGAGATATGCATTGGATGAGTTCTAATTTAGAAGCAGATATAAAACACGAGAGGTTGATAACATCTTTTGATTTCAAAAAAGAGGAATTCAAGTAGACTCGTCCTCAGAATTTTGAGTATGATGCATATGCTCCTGGTAAAAATTTTAAATTGATTAATCTGAAGGGATCCCTAACTATTGTCAATGTTCCCTCTTGTAACCAGAAGGAGATATGGGTGATGAAAGAGTATTATTAGGTAAGAGAACCTAGAGTAACTAATGGTAATATACTGTCTTTTTGATATATCTTCATGGCGACATGTTTGGGGTATAACTCAATACTTTGGTGCTTGAGCCCAAGGAGGTTTTTATCTTGATACTTACCCCAATAAGTAGTATGTTATTGATTTAAGAAAAATCACATGGGTTACATTAATAAATGGATTTGGATTCTGCGATAGGATTATACAGATGATGAGATGGATGTCTATAGTTATACGAGGAGTGTTGTTTGTCTTAGACACTTTGACAACCTTATTGCAAATCATTCTTATAACTTCCTCAAGATAGCTCACTGCATCTATGTTTTCCCTTGATGATTATGAGAATTTTTATTGAAATATTGTTTCTCATCATTGATTTCTTTTTTCTTTTTTCATCTAAATTTTTTTGCGTTCAATGTTTTATGAGTAATACTATTCGTTTCCAATACTTATCCCAAATTTCACATTCCAAATAATGTATCATCATGTAAGCATTTTTAAGTAATTCAATGTATCATCAACTTCCAATATTTAATAGACACGCTAAACTTTAACATAACAAAGCCACCTACAGTATTAACACAACATCCAAATATGAATTTACGTTATTTTCCAACTTTTCCCACCAACCAAACATATCATATACATCCAGAAAAACAACCACTAACGAATTCAAACAAAGCCACTTAATATTACACCATATAAAGGTAATTTGAAGAGATTAAAAGTCTACAACAGTATTACGAAATAAATAGACTCCAAGTTATTTTCTCATATCTACTAGCAACCAAGCCAATAATTTTACTTTAGAAAAGCCATTATCAAATGAATCTAAACAAACCCACTTTAGATTACACAACACAATACACAATATAGACTAATAGAAGTCGTGATTATTGCTTAATATGGAATCGAAGACGAAGAGCGAATTGGAGAGTGGAGATGGAAAGGACAGGATTCTAGAATTTGATTAAATTTAATTTAATCCTAACATTAAATTCAATAAAAAAAAAATAATAATACAAAGGTATTTCAAGAATTTGGATGAGCTATTTAGATAATACAGTTTGTTGTGTTTTTCATTCTTAACTCAATTCTCACAAACTCATAATTGAATTTTCTTTAGTTTCTTAATAGGTATTTTATAAATTAATTAGCTCAAGAGTGCATATTATTATTAAGCTGAGTTAGCATTACTTTGATATATCTCTAATACTAAATTAACATAGAATGAATAACATATATTATTATATTGAGAGGCCACAAATAAGAAATTAAACCAAGAATCTTGTAAATGTGAAGACTAAAATGATGTTGTATTCAGAATAAATAAGACGCTATCGTTTCAATGTTATGTGGTTGAATCCTATCCCTTCATTGTGTTTTGATCCAACGGCAGCAATCTCTCTTGACTTGGTCAACGGTATTTAACATTCCAAACATCAACCTTATCAGATTGATCAAGAATTTTTTTGTGTAAAGAAAGAGCTTTGATAGGGTTTTTTTCGGTGTTCTTAATCAAATCTCTATAACTTGGTGTTGAGTGGTTAGTGTTAATCGTTCAGTAAGGGTTAGTGTTCTCTCAAGTGCTAGGGATTCTTGGATTAGTTTCTCTAGGTTAGAGGTTGCAGGATTGGGAGAGATTAAAGGGTTTCTTAAGAGCGATTAATTAGGTGTTTGTGTAATCTGTAACCTCTGTTCGTAATAATGCAGTGAGCTTCCTCTATTTCCGGAGCTCAACATGGATGTTTCCAGTTCTTCGAAAGGTGAACCACAGTAAAATTCCCGTGTTGATTCTTTTTGTGTGTGTGTGTGTGTGATTAATTAATTGTGTTTTAGGTTAATTCGCATAACAGTGGTATCAGAGATTTGGTGAGAGAGTTAATTGAGTTCTGATTTCTCTAATTTGATCGAAAATCTCTTTCCCCGCGCGCGGCGGTGGGGGGGGGGGGGGGGGGGGGGGGGGGGGGGGGGGGGGGGGGGGGGGGGGGGCGGTGCGGTGGTGTGTGTGGAATATAGGGTTAGTTAATTTTTGGGGGTTTTGTGTCTACACAACTCCTTAGTACTCTAGGGTCCCTAAATCTGAAAATCAAAAAACAAATTCATCGATTTGGAACAGTTCTTGGAGATCCAGGGTTTTGTCAGGTTTCTTACATCATAAATTAAAATTGAACCTCTAGGGTTCAAATTGGGGGTAAATCTTGAAATCTTTCTCAAACACACACCATGTCTACAACTACTAGAATGTAGATTACCCAATATGATGGGAAAATCGACTTCAGTAGTTAGAAGAAGAAAATGAAAGCACTGTTTTCCCACAATAAAGTGGCTTTGACTTTGGCTCTAGAGACAAATGTCGAGAAGTGGATTGAAGACAAGCTGAAGAAGAAGGCACAAATTGATGAGACGGCTTACAACTCAACATCATGAACCTGGCTGAATATGTTCTGAGGAAAGTAGATGGACTGGAGACTCCTCTCGCGGTATGGGGTAAGCTTGAATCTCTATATGCATTACAAGCTGCACCAAACCTTGCTTTCTAGAAAGGTGCTCTGTTTTCTTATAAAATGGATAGCAGTAAGTCTATAGAAGATAACTTAGATGAATTCTTGAAAATGACTCTAATCCTAAAAGGCATTGACCAAGAACTAGGAGATATAAGCCTAGATATGATCCCTTTAAACTCCTTGACTAAAGACTACCAAGTACTTAAAAATGCCCTTCAGTACTCTGGTACTGTACCTAGTTTAGATTTAATAATTGCTGGCCTAAAAGCTAGGGAATTAGAGTTAAAGGTTCATAAGAGAAGTGGGAATAACTTGTTTGTTAAGGGCAAGGTAGAACCAAGACAATCCTCAACTAATTTTCAACGAAATACTAGGTCTAAGTATAAGAAGAAAGGAAAGGGTTCTAATAAGAAAGGGGAAACCAGAAAGTGTTTCCACTGTAACAAGACAAGGCACTTAATAAAAAAACTACTATAAATGGATTAAAAAGCAAAAATCTGGGAATACTGAGAGTATTGTAGCCTCCACTAATGATAGTATTACAATATCAAAGGTCTGCACTGATAAGAGCTTGAAAATACACATTTAGTTAGTGGTTTTTGGGGATTAATTGTGGGAAATTAGGTTTAATTTGGTAAAGTTGCTTAATATTTTCATAATTGCCTTTTACGGAATTGCAGGTGCTTTTGAGTGTTTTTCAGGCTACTAGTGCTTAAATGTTATGCTTGGATGAAGAATCATGTTGGCAACGGAATGAGTGATGAGTGAAAACAAACGGATCAAGAATTAAAGTTGAATTGAAGAAGTTATGGAAGTTGAAGTAAAGAGAAGATTCTAGATTACGTTCCAACTTGAGCATGTCTCAGTATTTTGAGAATATCTTGAGCTGTAGAACTCAAATTAAGACAATTCTTGGACTTTTGGAAATATAATTCAAAGGGCTACATTCATATGTTACCACTTTTCCAAATTTCATCGTTATCGAGTTCAAAAATCACCATCTCTGAAGAATAGTGGAATGATGCGGGAAGAAGGCCAGTAGCTATTGTGCCGCAGCACAGTGCCGCGACACACTCTTTCTAGTAGCTACTGTGCTGCAGCACAGTGCCAGGGCACAGTCACGGAAGTTAAAAACTGGTTATCCGTTTTTAGGTAGGAGAATAAGGTTAAGAGTCCAAAACCAAATAGAATTAAAAAATATAAAACCCTAACCCTTGTGAGATATAAATAGAAGTCTTTTAGCATTATTTTAGATATTCTTTAGTGAGGAGAAAGGGAGAAAAATCTGCAGAGAAGAGAAGTAATGGAAGTTCTAGAGCTTTGATTCGCAATATAGAGAAGTCTTCCTTGTACTTTTCTTATAAACTCATGATGATTATTCTAATAAAGATGGCTGTTTCTTTCATGTTTATTATGAACTAAATTTATTCTGAAGGGCTAAGATGTAGCCCAATCTCTTAATTACGTATTGATCTTTGATTGTCAATATTTATTAAGAATTCTTCCGAAGTTTTACTAGGATTCCTAATGTTTTTTATTCTTAAGGGCCCAAGAATTGAATGAACTGATGGACTAAGGTGAGATCGAAAGATGATACTTAGTTGGTCTACAGTAATAAAACCATAGGTTGAGCGAACGCTAGAGATAGGTTACCGCGACTTGTGAGGTTTTGGTAAACTCCATAGAGCCTAATGATCTTCAATTACTTAAATCTGATTAGAGATATTTCGGGTTAGTAATTAGGGGTTAATTTGATAATTGTTCGAGAGAAAGTTATTGGAAATTTAAGGAGTTTGACCTGTAGGAAGAGCTTAATCAAATTAGCATGAAAGATCGATACATATGGATAAGAGTTGGTGTGAAAGTCTATGCCGTAGGTCTAGTCATCTTGTTTTTACCCAAAGATTTATTTTAATTGTTATCCTTTCAGTTTTCTTTTTAAATTCAATTGTTAATTTATTTTAGATTTTCCTTGATACAATTTGGATTGATCAAATAGTAATAGGATAGTTTAATTGGTAATTGATAATAGTAATTCCCTTGGGTTTGATATCAGTAATTTTACACTTTATTACTTGCACGATTTTGTACACTTATGAAAATCTACAACAAGTTTTTGCTTTGTCTAGGTCTGACCAGATTCAGGATTGGGTGTTAGATTTTGGGTGCTCATTTCACATGAGCCCCAACAGAGAATGGTTCCAAGAGTTTTGGAGTGATGAACATGAGACTGTGTTTATGGGGAACAACAATGTCTGCAAAGTGCTAGGAATAGAAAATATAACTGTAAGACTGGAAGATGGGAAACTGGTTGTGTTATCTAAGGTGAGATACATTCCTGAATTCAAGAGAAATCTAATTTCCTTTGGTACTTTAGATGAGTCTGGATGCAGTTATAAAGTGGAGAAAATGTGCATTAATGTGTTTAGAAACAACAACATAGTGTTAAGGGGGTTGAAGAAAAATGGCCTATACATGCTTTGTGGGTGTTATTACCTTGGGAAAGGTAATAGTGCTCTTGTCTCAGAAAACCTTAGTGTGACAGATAAGACACTTAAGATTAGGGCATATGAGCCAAAAGGGTATGGACATCCTAAACCAGCAGGGGCTACTTGGTAATGACAGAATTAGTGCATTGGATTTTTGTGAGACATGTGTCCTAGGCAAACAACACAACAATAGTTTTACTAAAGACACATACCTAGCATCTAACTGTCTACACCATCTACATGCTAACCTATGGGGACTTGAGAAGGTGAGGTCTTATGGAGGGAATAACTACTTTCTCTCCATAATAAATGAATTTAGCAAAAAGGTATGGGTTTACCTTCTCAAATCTAAGGATGAGGCACCATCTAAGTTCAAGAACTGGAAAATGCCAGTGGAAAATCCAGTTGATCGGAAGGTAAAGGCTCTTAGAACTGACAATGGATTAGGGTTTTGCAACACAGAATTTGATAAGTATTACCATGACCAGGGTATTTTAAGGCACAGAATAGTTAGGAAACCCCTTAGCAGAATGGGGTTGCTAAGAGGATGAATAAAACGCTCTTAGAAAATGTTAGATGCCCCTTGTTCACATTTAGCCTACCAAAACCTTTATAGGGAGAGGCCTTGACTACTACTGTTTATTTAATAAATAGAAGCCCAAATAATTCCATAGAATTTAAGTGTCATAAGACCAAGTGGTTTGGAAGGAAGCCAAGTTTAAGCCATCTAAGGGTATTTAGGTGAGCAGCCTATGCACACACCAATGATGGAAAGTTAGAACCTAGATCAATAAGATGTGTGTTCTTGGGGAACTAAGGGCTTTAGACTATGGGCTAGGGAGACTCCAAGGTAAAAATCACTATAAGTAGGGATGTTATATTTAATGAAGGGGACTTCCCCTACAAATCAACTAACAATGATGCAGGTTCCTTAAGTAATCTTGAAACACACTCAAACCAAACAGAGGTCACACAAATTGACGTGGAGCCCACCAAAATGCAACCTGATATGCCATTGCTTGAAACAAAACCTGCATTAGAAGAAGGTATAGAACTTGATGAACCAAGCAAAGCAGAAGAAGGCAGAGCAATAAAGGTTGCAGACCCATAGCATGATGAGCTATAACAGTACCAACTAGCAAGGGGATAGGACCAAAAGAGAGATAATGCCTCTAGCAAGGTTCTCCTATGTAGAGCTAATCTATACAACCTTACTTGAGGGTACAGAAGTAAAAAGGGTAGAACCCGAGACATATGCAAAAGCCGTGAAATCAGAACACAGAGACAAACGGTGGCAAGCAATGACATAGGAAATGTAATCATTAAAGGTAAATGGGACCTGGTCTTTGGTCCCAAAACCTAAAAACAAGAGACTAATACAGTGTAAGTGGTTGTTTAAGATTAAGGATGGCATTACTACACATGAACCCCTTAAGTACAAAGCTAGATTAGTGGCTAAATGGTACACTCAAAAGGAAGGCATAGACTTCAATAAAGTCTTCTCTCTAGTAGTTAAATACAAAACCATTAGGATGATGCTTTCAGTTGTTGCTCATCAGGACCTAGAACTAGAGCAATTAGATGTGAAAATAGCATTTCTCCATGGGGACTTACAAGAGCATATCTTCATTAGTCAACCAATAGGTTTTGTAGACCATAGGATGCTAAACCATGTTTGCCTACTACACAAGTCCTTGTATGGCCTTAAACAATCACCTAGGCAATGGTACAAAATGTTTGATACTTTTATAGTTAGTATAGGATTCACAAGAAGCAAATATGATAGTTGCTTCTATTTTACTTTGAAAAATAACATGCCTATTTATTTACTGTTTTATGTTGATGATATGTTTTTAATTAGCAAATCCAAGTCCAAAATAAATGAATTAAAAGCCAGATTTAGTTCTAAATTTGATATGAAAGACTTAGGGGTGGCTAAGAAAATTCTAAGAATGGTTATAAACAGGAATAGAAGCAGTAGTGAACTGAAAATTCATCAACGCTCATATCTACAAAAACTGGTCTCTAAATTTGGGATGTCTGGGTATAAGCATGTATCAATGCCTTTGGCTAGTCTCTTTACGTTCTCTAAATCTCAGCATCCTAAGAAACCTGTTGAAATAATTAGGATGGAATCTATTCCTTACTAAAATGTGATAGACTCGATAATGTATGCAATGATAAGCACTAGACCAGATTCATCTTTTGCAATATCCCTTTTAAGCAGATATATGTCTAACCTTATAATTGAGCACTAGTTTGCCTTGAAATGTGTGTTAAGATACATCAAAGGTATTGTTTGTGTTGGTTTAGATTATTGCAAAAGAACTACTTCACTTGAGTTGGTTGTTTTTGGAGATTTAGATTTTGCAGGTGACAGGGATTCTAGAAAATCAACTACAGTCTATTACTTTACTCTTGGTGGAAACTGTATTAGCTAGAAATCCCAACTTCAACCTTTGGTAGCCCTCTCAACAATTGAAGTTGAATATGTGGTATGGTTGCAAGGGATACTGTCAGAAGCTGGGCTAACTGGTTGCAAGGTGACTATTTACTCAGATAGTCAGAGTGCAATTCATCTGAGTAAAAACCTTGTCTACCATGAAAGAACAAAACATGTGGATGTTAGATTCCACTTTGTTAGAGACCTGATTATTCAAGGGTTGATTAAGCTGAAAAAGATCCCTACTGAAGACAATCCAGCAAACATGGGAACTAAAGTAGTTACACCTGCCAAGTTGAAGCATTGCTTGAACTTATTGTTTGTGAAGTGAGCTAAAGCAACGGAGCTATGAGGGAATCAAACTGGAGTGAGCTACACTGAGTAGAGTCAAGAAATGAGTTAGTTTCAAGTCTTCAAGGTGGAGATTGTAAATGTGAAGATTGAAACGATGTCGTATTCAAAATAAGTAAGATGTTGTCGATTCAGTGTTATGTGGTTGAATCATGTCCCTTCATTGTGTTTCGATCCAACGACTGCAATCTCTCCTGACTTGGTCAACGGTATTTAAGCATTCCAAAGTCAGCCTCATCAGATCAATCAAGAATTTTTCTTTGTGTGAAGAAAAAGCTTTGCTAGGGTTTTTTGGGTGTTCTTAATCAAATCTTTAGAACTTGGTGTTGAGTGGTTAGCGTTAACCATTCAGTGAGGGTTAGTGTTCTCTCAAGGGCTAAGGATTCTTGGATTAGTTTCTCTAGGTTAGTGGTTGTGGGATTAAGAGACATTAAGGGGTTTCTTGAGAGTGATTGATCTGGTGTTTCTGTAATTTGTAAACTCTGTTCGTAATAGTGCAGTGAGCTTCCTCTGTTTTCGGAGCTCGATGTGGATGTAGCCTTTCCAATTCTTGAAAAGGTGAACCACAGTAAAATTCCCGTGTTGATTCTTTGTGTGTGTGTGTGTGTGATTAATTAGTTGCATTTTAGGTTAATTCGCATAACAAATCTCAATTGCATAATAATAGAACATGGGACTCAAATATTTAATTAATGCTTTTCTTCAATTAATTTAATTTAAATAAATACATATTATTGTCATGCAAGTAAATAACATAAATTAATCTTGTCTTGTTTTGTTTGTAAGAATTAACTAGCCTTCTTTGAGAGCATATAATCTATCTAATTAAGTATATATAAATCAAAAGCTATTAATTAACTTAATTAATATCACAATACATAAATTAAATTAATCAGCCAATTATTGCCTTTCAACGACAAGAAAAGCCTATATAATATTTGTTTACTCTAAAACAGTGTTTTAAAGCCCGACCCGGCCAATCAAACCGAGACCTAGAGCCTTCACTAGGTCAGGGTTACAACTTTTCATATTAATTGAAAACCCTAAAAATTAGGACATTAATCCATGAACAATTGAAGGCTAAAATGTTAGGGTTTTTGAAAAGAAATGGCCGATGAGTTCAATGTTGGCAACGGCTGCGATTTTCGATGAGTGAATCGATTAGAAATCGCAAAACAATATTGTTAGAAAAAGCTCAATGTCTTCGACAATTGGGGAGGCTAACAAGGAAAGAGTGAGATAGATTTTGGTCAAGAGGCTAAAGAGAGTGTTTTCGTGGTGATGAAGAGTGTTGTCAAAAAACAAGCCCTATTTGCCAGTAGTGGCTTGAAGAGTTATTCTCTCTTTTAAAAATATTTCCCTAAAAATCAATTAAATTTTAACCGATTAAGTACTTAATTGTGGAGAGCTGAGCTGGCCCAATGCTAATTCTTGTCTCTTGAGGCAATTTTTTATTTGCCTTAGAGCATCTCCAATGGTGTTGTTTATTTTGCAGAATATCTTTCATATAAATAAATAGCATTTTCATTCATTTTAAATATAAAGAACACAATTTTTATTCAAATCCAATAGACTCTTTAAATTTATTGAAAATGCTCTTTATTTTCAAGAAAAAAACTTAATGGGAAAGAGAATTAATAAATAAAATGCATAGAAACTTGTAGTTTATTAATTAAAATTAGGATAAAGAGTGAAATTTGACTCTCTAAATGTGAAGAGTCAAACTCACTCTCTAATTTATATTTTAAAAATAAAAAGCCTGTTAGACTCTTATTTGTATAAATAGACTCTTTATAATAAAGAGTTTAGGTCATATAAAGAGTTTTTTAAAAATGTTTTTATTGAGGCTATAATAATTATTTTCAAGTTTTTGTTACTTTGATTGGGTGCGGTAGATTAATTATTGAAAACTGGCTTGACTTGTATTAAACAAATTTAATCCAAATCCTAAACGGTAGTGGTGTTGTTGATTTTGAGTTTTGACCCAATCATGCTTTTATATATTCCAGAGTCATATTCAACTCTTTAATTAATGATTTTCTTCAATTTTTCCTGGAACTGTCTCATTCATACATATTACTCGTGAATTCAGATTCTGAAGAATAAATAACATAAATAAATCTTGTCTTGTCTCTGCTATAACATAACCCAAAGCCAAAACATTCACCTCAAGTTCATACATTATCAAACAAATCACGACCCTCAATTGTCCAGCCGGCAACACACCTGTTTACTTGGCTTTTGCCGCTGGACATCAAGAAATTGGTCATTATCTTGAAGATAAAGTAGTAGAGCACGCGGCGGCAGGCCGGCAGCCATGTAACTTTTCTTGGATGAATTATAGATCTTGTGATAATTTGCTGTGCTATGAAAGGTGAGTGTAAAATCATTATTGACAAGTTTTTACTTTCTTCCAATCCTTGTGTCTTATTGTTTATGTTCCACTATAAATTATAAAATATAGGAGACTCATCAGTTTCAGAATGAAACAATTACACCCTTATGGTTTCGGGAAAAAATAGTTATACCATTATTATTAGTACAATGATTAATCAGTAATATACCCTTATTTTATCTTTTCTCCTACAACAACAAAAAAATAAAAAAAAACTAACAGGTGGCATTTGTCATATAATCGAATTATGTATATTAAATGATTTAAAAATATTACTGTTAAGTGAATGTAACAGTAAGTTGGAAAATAAACTTTTTAGAAAATTTACTTAAGAAAGGAAGTATAGTTAATATGTTATAGCTGGTAAATTTTCGTTCAAAAGTATGGTCTTATCACCAGCAATGGGAAGTCCAGGATTTAATTCCAAAAACATAATCCCACAAATCTTATGGAATAAAACCTTTAATGGATTGAATTAGAGATAAAACAATAAGCATACAAGCTCTACAATTAATTTTATACCTGCCACTCCATAGTCGGTCGGAAAATCACACGACGTCTATTAATGACATCCAATATGTCCTTTTTCTCTCGTTCACATCTTGTCCGATTTCTCTGATAATTTCAGGGGAAAAAAAAATAATTATATTCAAAATATGGCTCTGTGTGGAAGAGTTTGCGAGGATCATAGGCCATGAGTTTTAGATAGCATCAAAATCTTGAGGGCTATGGCTTATGTTTCTTTCTTTCTTTCTCTCATCCTTTAGTTTACCAATTAAATGAAAACAATTGGATAACTATAACTTGTAAAGAAGTACAATTGTAAGCAGGGGAAGAGTAAATTCTTCATAAAGTTTACAGATGACAGACTGAACATAAACATACAAAGAGATAATAGGATAGCTAACCTTTACTTCTAGGTAGTGAAAAAGAGCGATGTCTACAGGTCCCCTGCAATAGAATTCAGGGAGCAAATATACATATAAATCAACAACTGCTAATGTCAATTAAGAACAAGAAACCAAATTTTAAAAAGACTCACTGGTCAAGCATCCAATAAATGCGTCTTTGAAAATTGTCATTATCTTGTCCATGGACATAGAAGCACCGCAACATCTTAACATTTCCAACCTGAAAGAATACACACTTGTTAATATACTTAGTTGACAACACTGAATATAAAATTTACAAATCTGTGTTCTTATACATATTAAATCAATAATAGTACTTTGAGAATCCTATTCGCTTCCTGCACAGTCTTTCCATTCTTTTTCTTAGTCCAGTTATGGCCATCTTTTTTAAAGTCTCTCATCATGTGCCTCTTTATTGCAAAGAATGAACCACCTGAAATTAGAAACCAATATGCATAATTATAAGTTGATAAAACAAAATCTAAAAACAAACAATTAAGATGTTCAATTCATCTTACTTGGAGGCCTTTCTTGTCGTTCAGTGATAACTATATCATGCCGTTCATACTTGGCAAACATATCATGTATTTCAGCTGCATTAAACCAGCGGTGTTGCGCTTCTTTCCGTAATTCTTCAAGACCTGCATCATTCCAATTAGGGGTGGAAAAGCTGGTTAACGAACCGGTTTGGTCACTTTCCAAACCAGTCCGGAAAACCAGTTCAAGCAGAAATCCAAACCGAGACTGAACAGATTTGTGCTTGAACCGGTTTTAAACCGAACCAAATTACCAGCTCGGAAAGCCGATTTTAGATATAAAAAAAAAAAAAAAATTAGCTCCTAATGTTTCCCTTCTTCAAATTTTTTTTTATTTTTTTATTTTTTTAAGATAGAACCTTATTTGTATGAATAAAGAATCTCAAACGGTTCAATAATGCAAAGGGTTCCTGAAGAAACAGGCCTTCATAGTATAAACTCTGTTCGTAATAGTGCAATGAGCTTCCTCTGTTTTCAGAGCTCGATGTGGATGTAGCCTTTCCAATTCTTGAAAAAGTGAACCACAGTAAAATCCCCGTGTTGATTCTTTGTGTGTGTGTGTGATTAATTAGTTGCATTTTAGGTTAATTCGCATAACAAATCTCAATTGCATAATAATGGAACATGGGACTCAAATCTTTAATTAATGCTTTTCTTCAATTAATTTAATTTAAATAAATACATATTATTTTCATGCAAGTAGATAACATAAATTAATCTTGTCTTGTTTTGTTTGTAAGAGTTAACTAGCCTTCTTTGAGAGCGTATAATCAATCTAATTAAGTATATATAAATCAAAAGCTATTAATTAATATCACAATACATAAATTAAATTAATCAACCACGGATCAATAAAGCTTCACAATTATTGCCTTTCAACGACAAGAAAAGCCTATATAATATTTGTTTACTCTAAAACAGTGTTTTAAAATCCGACCCAGCCGATCAAACCGAAACCTAGAGCCTTCACTATGTCGAGGTTACAACTTTTCCTATTAATTAAAAACCCTAGAAATTAGGACATCAATCCATGAACAATTGAACGCTAGAGTGTTAGGGGTTTTAAGAGAAATGGCCGATGAGTTCAATGTTGGCAACGACAACGATTTTCGATGAATGAATCCTTAGAAATCGCAAAACAATATTATTGAAAAAAGCTCAATGTCGTCGACAATTGGGAAGGCTAAGAAGGAAATGATAAGATGGGTTTTGATCAGGAGGCTAAAAAGAGTGTTTTCGTAATGACGGGGAGTGTTGTCAAAAAACAAGCCCTATTTGCTGACAATGGCTTGAAGAGTTATTCTCTCTCTTTTAAAAATATTTCCCCAAAAATCAATTAAATTTTAACCGATTAAGTACTTAATTGTGGAGGGCTGGGCTGGCCCAATGCTAACTCTTCTCTCTTGGGGCAATTTTTTATTTGCATAATAATTATTTTTATGTTTTTGTTACTTTGATTGGGTGCGGTAGATTAATTATTGAAAACTCGCTTGACTTGTATTAAACAAATTTAATCCAAATCCTAAACGGTAATGGTGTTGTTGATTTTGAGTTTTGACCCAATCATGCTTAAAATATTCCACAGTGTCGATTAATTGTTTAAATAAATACTCCCTATCTCTTTCTCTATTTTGGAACTGTCTCATTCATACATATTACTCGTGAATTCAGATTCTGAAGAATAAATAACATAAGTAAATCTTGTCTTGTTTCTGCTATAACATAACCCAAAGCCAAAACATTTACTTCAAGTTCATACATTATCAAACAAATCACGACCCTCAATTGTGCAGCCGTCAACACACCTGCTTAATTGGCTTTTGCCGCTGGACATCAAGAAATTGGTCATTATCTTGAAGATAAAAGTAGTAGAGCACGCAGCGGTGCCAGCAGCCATGGAACTTTTCTTGGATGAGTAAACTTAGATAAACTATAAACAGGTCCCGTAAACCCCTTTTTTTTTTATAAGAATTATATTTTTGTTTGGTTGTAACCACTGAATTATAGATCTTGTGATAATTTGCTGTGCTATGAAAGATGAGTGTAAAATCATTATTGACAAGTTTTTACTTTCTTCCGATCCTTCTGTCTTATTGTTTATGTTCCACCATCAAATATAGGAGACTCCTAAGTTTCAGAATGAAACAATTACACCCTCATGGTTTCGGGATAAAATAGTTATACCATTATTATTAGTACCATGATTAATCACCAATAGACCCTTATTTTATCTTTTCTCCTACAACAACAAAAAATCAAAAAAAAACTAACAGGTGGCATTTGTCGTATAATCTAATTATGCATATTAACTGCTTTAAAAATATTATAGTTTGTCACTTGGATCGTCTCCAAAATTAGTTGCAAGATTTTGTACTTAAAGATCGTTTTACAAAATTAAGTGAATGTAACAGTCAGTTGGAAAATAAACTTTTTAGAAAATTTACTTAAGAAAGGAAGTATAGTTAATATGTTATAGCTGGTAAATTTTCGTTCAAAAGTATGATCTTATCACCAGCAATGGGAAGTCCAGGATTTAATTCCAAAAACATAATCCCATAAATCTTATAGAATAAAACTTTTAATGGATTGAATTAGAGATAAAACAATAAGCATACAAGCTCTATCATTAATTTTTTACCTGCCACTCCATAGTCGGTCGGAAAATCACATGAGATCTATTAAAGACATCCGATAGGTCCTTTTTCTCTCGTTCACATCTTGTCCAATTTCTCTGATAATTTCAGGGGGAAAAAAAAGTTATATTCAAAATATGGTCTGTGTGGAGGAGTTTGCAAGGATCATAGGGCATGAGTTTAGATATAGCCTACTGACAGAAAACACCACAATTAATAGCATCAACATTTGAGGGCTATGGCTTATGTTACTTTCTTTCTTTTCTCATCCTTTAGTTTACCCATTAAATGAAAACAATTGGATAACATAACTTATAAAGAAGTACAATTGTAAGCAGGGGAAGGGTAAATTCTTCATAAAGTTTACAGATGACAGACTGAACAATAAACATACAAAGAGATAATAGGACAACTAACCTTTACTTCAAGGTAGTGAGAAAAGAGCGATGTCTAAAGGTTCCCTGCAATAGTAGTCAGGGAGCAAATATACATATAAATCAACAACTGCTAATGTCAATTAAGAACAAGAAACCAAATTTAAAAAGACTCACTGGTCAAGCATCCAATAAATGCGTCTTTGAAAATTGCCATTATCTTGTCCATGGACATAGACGCACTGCAACATCTCAACATTTCCAACCTGAAAGAATACACATTTTAATATACTTAGTTGAAAACTGAATATAAAATTTACGAATCTGAGTTCTTATACATATTAAATCAATAATAGTACTTTGAGCCTCTCATACGATGCCTGCACAAGCTTTCCATCCTTTTTCTTAGTCCAGTTATGGCCACTTTTTTAAAGTCTCTCATCATGTGCTTCTTTATTGCAAAGAATGAACCACCTGAAATTAGAAACCAATATGCATAATTATAAGTTGATAAAACAAAATCTAAAAACAAAAAATTAAGATGTTCAATTCATCTTACTTGGAGGCCTTTCTTGTCGTTCAGTGATAACCATATCATGCCACTACTTGGTAAACATATCATGAATTTCAGCTGTATTAACCAGCGGTGTTGCGCTTCTTTCCGTAATTCTTCAAGACCTGCATCATTCCAATTAGGGGTGGAAAAACCGGTTAAGGTTTGGACCGGAAAACCAGTTCAAGCAGAATCCGAACCGAAACTGAACAGATTGTGCTTGCAACGGTTTAAACCGAACCAAATTACAGCTCGGAAAACCCATTTTAGATAAAAAAATTAGCTCCTAATGTTTCCCTTCAAAATTTTTTTTTTTTTTTACGATAGAACCTTATTTGTATGAATAAAGAATCTCAAACGGTCCAATAATGCAAAGGGTTCCTGAAGAAACAGGCCTTCATAGTTACATCCCTTTACTCATCTAGACAAATTCATTAAAAGAAAAAACACCTGAAACAATCAAAATTTCCTTTGTCCATCCCTGAAATTGAGCTACAGAAGAAATTGAAAACTAAATAGGCTCCAAAATCAAATTATTCTTAATGAACAGTTAACTAACTCAAAGTAAATGCGAATCTCAACAACAATAAGAGCTCTAACACTGAACAAAACTCAAGCAAAAAGCTCCAAAATCCCATGTTAAAAGACATATGAAAGTGAAAATAAAGTTAAAAAGAAGAACGAAGAGACAGAGAAGGATAAGTTTACCTTCAGCAGAATCTCCTGGTAGATGCTCGAGCTTGATTTGACAAGTACTGTTCAATGTTGAGAAAGAAGAATGAGAAGGAGAAAGTTTTGAAATTTTTGAAAGTGTAAATGGGTTTGATTTAAAAGAAGGAATGAAAAGTGAAGAAGAGTGGAGAAGATGATTTAAAGAGAAGCGAATACGTGAAGCCATGAGATGTTTATGTTTCTTCACAGTTGAACTGGATTTTTTTCTCAGGTTTGTTGTTTCTTCACAGTCGGCACTCGGCAGCAGCAAATATGAAAATTAGGTGTTAGGGTAAAATGGAGTAAACCCTAAACCCTAAATCACAGATCTGGTTTATAAATTCCAATTCTATCCTTAAATTAAAATGAAATCATTTAAGGCAATGGTTAAAGGGTAAAGTGATCATTTAAATTATATTGGCACTATAAATTTTTTATTTAATTTAATTGTCACATCCCACGTCAAAGGAGAACCTGCAATTCTACGTATAAGATTTGTGTTTTTTCAAACCCAATAAATATGTTTTGAATTAAACAAGATTACGATGATTGGATAGAATTTGGATCATAATCCTAAAAACATGATTTAGGGCATGTTTGGCTTATTATTTTTATCGTTATTCTCAATCTTATTCTCTAAATAATGTTTAACACATTATTCTGGAAATATTATTCTATTTTTTAAATTATTTTAGACCACATAAGATTATTAATTTCATTAAATACCCCTTGAAAAAAAGTTTAAAAATTAACAAAAACACCCTTACGATCCATACTTGTCAAATTCTGGCAACCACCGTCGGTGGTAGTCGGAACTGTACAACGGCCTACCTGTTGACCAGAAATGACCAAAAGTTCATCGATCTAGCCGTCAGCGATGACCAAAGAAATGACTGTCTTTGACAGTCAACGACGGTCAAATCTTGTCCATCGTTGATCGAAAACGACGGCCATCGGCCAAAGATGGACTTCTTTTGACGTTTTCCGACCGTTGACGACAATATTTAGTCGTGGATCTGGCCGAAAAAGGTTAGACCGATGAGTTACGACACAGATCCAATCGATCTGTGTCGTAACGAAATTTTTCGGCCAGATTCTTGCGGTGGTGGCCAGAATCTAGCACTGCAGGTGGTGGGGATATTTTTGTCATTTTACATATTGGGGTATTTATTAAATTAGCAAACTTAGGAGGCTTTCTATAAATTTTTAAATTTTACCTCGTAATACTCCCATATTCAATTATCCAATACTATCCCCAAAATGATATCCAAAATAATAAACCAAACGCACCCTTAATTATTATTTAGTTAATCTTGTAATTAAAACAAGTTTTACAACAAGAAGTTTCTGTAAGAATGATACCAACATCAACTGTTTCTTGTTAATCATTCAGAGCAATGGCCTGCAAATTCAATTGAAGCTAAGAAAACTTGTTTGATAACCAGAGTGGCAGTCAAGTAACAAGAAGATATATTGAAATTGATACAAGGACTGGTTCTAATACAAATTATTCTGACAGACCATTTACTCTTTTTACAGGACATTGTTGAGAAACGTTTTGAAACCTATTTCTTCTGCAATATCTTTGTTATCCAAATTAAGAGATGAAAGGTGAGAGCTCAGGTCAGAATCCGCATGATGATTAGCAATTCCTTTATGTCCAATGGAAGAAGCCTATTTCTTCTGCAACTTCTCCTTCACCTTTTCTGGTGCAAACTTCTCTTGTGATGTATGTTTTTGCATCTTGCTCCATTCATTGCTTTTTTCTCTGAGCAATGAACAGACTTCACCGCTCAATCGAGATACTTCACCAACATTTCCGAAATTATAATTTGGAGTGGCGACAGAGCTAAGACGCAACTTCCTGAATCGCATATGGAGACTTTCATTTGCAAGAGCTCGGCAATGAAGAACAGCATAAGCTATAATTTCCGTTTCGACTCATTAGGAATCTTCCCATATCAAAAATGTTGTAGGAATGCTGGTGCACTCTATTTTCACTTTCAATTACATCTCCAAGTTCTTTACTCAGACCTTCATCAGTTTGAGATTCTGATTCTGAAAGATATCCATATTCTATGTCTAAAAGCCAAGTCTGACAATCGATTTCCTGATTCAAATGTGCACGGGAAGGCTCAAAGATTTCAATTACATTAATAGAATTAAAGACTTTCTCAGAAAAAGCTTGAAGTAAGATCATCTTCAGAGTCTGGGTACAACTGATGATCCATGGGACGTTTGGATGAATGTGCAGAATCAATTTCAGTTATCTGTGTACAAGGAAAATTAGTCTGAACAAACTTAATTAGTTATCAAGGGAAAAGAAACTACAAATTAGAAATTATCAGTCACTGAGTGTCATTACTGAGCTAATTATAGTATTACCTCAACTTCTTAGCCCATATATTATTATTCCCAATTTGTTGAGAAAAAAATCGTGCTACTGAGCTGGTCTTGGAAAGACCATGGAGCCAGCATCTCAAAATCTTTACTTATGAGGCCATTAGAGCTTCAGTTTTCTTCACATATTCCTCCATTAAAGAATAGTCTGAATCTATTTCCAAAAGGAAATCTAAAGGCTGTTTAACTTCAGTTTGCACAGGAATTATTTTCATATGTCTGTTTACATTGAAAATTAAAAGTCTGAATAAAAATCAGAGAATGTAAAGTGAAAAAGAAAATAGAAATTTGAAAATAGTATTTACTGAATATTACTGTAAATTTTGAATAAAGCTTTACTTTGACAACTTAGTTAATGTTCCTGCCTCTATTGAATAGTTGAGATGTCTAAACCTTGACATATTGTCACAAAATAATTAAAGTATAAAATTTCTTGACCTTCCATGATTTAACTATCAAACTTATCTTATTCATTCACATTTTTATTGATTAAATCAACTTCACTATTCGTCGGATCTCCCTATGGATAGTATTAAACGGTATGTGCTTACTTCTGACAACCTATCTGCTCAACTGGAATGACATGGATTTTATTTTTTTTTCTCTAGGCTATGTGTTTGGCTTTCGGTTTTGGATGGGGTGGTACAATTACTGATTGGTTGTTGTGTGTTTGGCTATGTGGTTGGATTCATTTTGTCTGCTTCCAAGGGATTTGGTTACTGGTGCTACCCTCCCTGGTTATGTTGTGATGACCTGCTCTTTGTTATTTGTGCTATTATGTGAGAATTGGTGGGTGGTCTTTGGAGGTTGGCGTTTACAATGGTTAATTAGGAAGGTTTATTATTGTGGAAGAAGTGGTTTTTGCCGTGGTGTGTTAGCTCGAAGGATTTTAGCAAGGGGGAAAGTGGACTGCTCTTTTATGGTGTTGGCTTCCTCGTCTACTTCGCTGGTTTTGACTACTAATGGATCAGTTATTATTGTGATCTGGAGAGGGATTATGAGTTGGTTAAATATTGGAAAGATTTGGGCTGGAGTCTGACTTGAGGTGGTATTTTAGGCGGCTGGTTTTTTCCTGGCTGGACAAGGATGATTATTGGGTTTGGGAAGACTGGGTTACTTTGTTTTGGGCCTCTATAAGGGTGTCTGCATACTGGTCTTTGTGGAGGGGGGCCTGCTGTCCATTTCTCTATGGGCTCTGGTGTGCCTCTCTCCTTTTTCGGGCTGTTGATATGAGCCTCTTTTATAGTCGGTAGGCCTTTGAGAATTTGTTTGGGCCTGTGCTCTTCTTAGTGCAGCCGGGCTATGCCCTCCGTTTTTGGGCTACTGCCTTTGTTTTTTAGTTGTATAGCCTTTCCATTTATACAGGCCTAGACCAATAGGCTGTTTTTTGTGACGATTTGTTTTGGTGATTACCCCTTTGGGCCTGTCCAAGGGTTTGCAAGTTTAAGGGTTACTCCCTTATTTCTGTATCATTATTTTCTTCTAAATCCTAATACATTACCGAGGTTATCCCAAAAAAAAATCTACTGACCATCCAATTTTGTCCTAAACACCAAGGACAAAAACTATACAAACAAAACAGGTAAACCGACTTATGAACATCCAGGATAACCTGCAAAAACACAACAGCCAGAACCCAACCACCAACAGCACCAAATGAGCAGCCACGCCAAACCAGCCAACACAAAAACTATGTTTTAATATAACCTCTTATTGAATAAAATTATTGCAGGTACATTATGGAACAAACAATCACATGCAAAAATCAATGGAATATTTACTAAAACTTATTCAAAGCCTCCTAAATAAATAAGTGTATAATTGTAAATTGTATTGCAACCTAGACAGATCACTAAAGGAGGTCAAGTCGTGTTAATTGATTTTATGAAATTGATGAGTCAACAATTCACTTATCTTTTCTTTCGTATATATCTATCTTATTATTATTATTACATGTCAGCCAAGGCAAAGGATCCAAGGTTTTGATTTATTAATGGCTGGTGCTGAAATTCTCTCAACTTAAGCATTTTGTTAAACTTATTGTCATAGCCCAGCTCTCTCTATATGGTGCTTTGAATAATGAAAGGAAGGCAGATAAGAATCAATTTAAACATATGGAACGAAATTACTCAAGGCGTTTACCTGCCACTAGATACCGCCCAATGAAGTGCAGTCCATCCATTCACATCGCTAGAATTGATATTTACACCTGCAACAATTGTGGGTTCAATGGCACTATGAGGCACACCTTGGCCACCACCTTCACCTGCCTTCTGCAAGAGCCATGCAAGCAACTTCTCCTTGGAAAACTTCTGCAAAAGCTTTTCCTTTACCGTTTCTGATAAAAAATTTCCCTCTAAAGTATGTATTAACATCTGGTCCCAATCAACACAGTCCTCTTTTAGCAATGTACTGATTTTACTGCTCATTTGACATGCTTCATTTGCATTGCCAGGATCACAATTTGGAGTAGGAGTTACCGAACTCAGACACAGTAAATTTCCACATCCTATACAGAGACTTTCAATTCTGATCTCGCCACATTGAAATTCCGGCACTTCAGTACAAGCTAACCCAACTTCTTGTTTAGGAGTATGGCAATCAAGAAAACCATCAACCATTTTTTCAGCCGACACTTCCACTTCCCTAAACATAGGAGACCAACCACAATTTTTTGCGGTCTCCTGTATTTGTGGATCATTTTGCCTATCAAGTGAAACAAATATAAGATCACAATCAATGCGTTGCTCATAAAACACTGAAGTAAGATCAAGTGTGGAGTCCAAAAACAAGTTCTGATTCATGGGCTGCTCGGATAAACGAATAGCTTCATTTTCAGAGTTCTATTAATAATAAAAATTAGTCTACAAAATTAAACATTGAAGAACATATATAAATTTCAGTACACCTGGATTGCTGAGCCGA